TGATTTAAATGGCGAGAATACATCTTTGCAAACAAATTTAATAAAGTACATTAACCCCAAACCTGTAGATGAATGTTATGATCCCTGTTTATAAATTCCAGTTGCATAAGGTCTTTTTTTAAATTTTTTTACAAGCTTTAATCTGTTCCTACAGACATCATCAGTTATGGAAATAGATTTATTTTTGTTTTTTACTTCTCGGTATATAACAGGACAACGAAAATATAGATGTAATCCGGAAAAATGTTTTTAGAAATGTGTTATTGTTAATTGTAAGAAATTTTTTGGGAGCGTGCAGTCGAAACGCTGAGGTTGAATTTTTAAATTTTAAGATTGTTGTGTTTTTGTACTAATATGGTAATAGGAGAATTCTTTTGTACTGGTAGGTTTTTCAGGCAATGTATAAGATGTATTCTCGCCATTTAAATCATTAACTTCTATATCTGTTTTTTGTATGAATGATTCATGTAATATATATATATATAAATGTATACATGTCTACACACACAGAGCAATATATTATACGAAAGGTGAGACATAAAGCAATGATTTTAATGTGTTTTGAGGAAAATAAAAGTAAAATTATTTGAAAATTATTTAATACGAGTTAAGAAAAGTAAAATCTCTAAAAGTGTAATGATTTGAATAAATGTTTCGCATACTGACAACAGATAATTAAACACGTCAGTTTTTTTGTAAACTTCTATGAATAGTAGTTTCTTCGTTACTTTGGGGTTATTTTCAGGAAGAGAATCTGAGAAAAGAAATTACAATTCTTTATAAAGTTACAACCAAGAGCCGTAAGAAAGAAGGTAGTAAAAATATATATTTTATTACGCAATTTGAAAATGAATGAAATACGTGACTTTTTGTGTAACAATGAAAGGTCAGTACGGGACATGCGACAAAATTATCCAATACGAGGCATATCCAGTATATAAAGGACGTCTGGCAACCCTACACTAAGTGCATTTGGCTAAACACTGACAAAAAACGTAAGCATTTTTATTCACCATTCTTTCTCATGAAAAAAAAAACAACTTATTTCCTTCTTTTCACTTTATTTCTTTTATTCTTCCTCCAGTTTGTTACATATTCGAACGAAATAAAGTTGTTAGAGGTTCACAAAATGGCCGCTGTTTGTTGATTGGCTTTCGCATTTTGTAGTGTATATCGGACACTTTTGATGTCCATGCCGACCACTCTCGTGAATCGCTGGCGTAACCTGGAATTCTATGTTCAGAACAAACTTTAGAGTTCCAAGTTATGTCAAAGACTCTTCGAGTATTCATTGATTGGTGCCGTTTTTTTTCCGTCGTCTTTTCTTGTCGTCTGTTGATTTCTCTCCGTCAGTAAATAGAGAAAACAAGTTGTCATCACTCGGCTCTGGCACTTTCGTTCGTACGTCTTCTTTGATTTTATTTACGTTCCATCCCAAAATATCGCCGTTAGAAATGTGTCTTTTATATTTTAGCTTTGATTTACTGGAAAATTGTTCTTTTGACTTTATACACTCGTTTTTTTTTTTAATTTTTCTTTTTTTGCTTCGTCTTTCATGACTGTTCACTGCAGGTAGACATCTTTTCAGAAGAGTGCTGACAGCTCACTCGTATACGGACGCGTCAGTACGTTGAGTTATTTACTCGTCTTTTTCTCTCTATGTTTATTTGTTTCTGTTATTTTACTTATCCGTGAACAGGAATATACATTTTTGTTGAAGATATATACATTCTAACATGTTTTCTTTTAAATATATATTTTACTGATTTTATATATTTCTCTCATTTTCCGTTTATTTTATAAACGTTAGAGGCCTACTGCTGAAAATATGAATATACAAAAGCTTCATGCAACAAATAGAACATGCAGGCATATGATGAAATATAGACGTACAAAATAACGTACCTTTGTAAATGATACTTTTTATAGATGTAGGTGTTTACACAGACTTTTATATGTTTCTATACTTGTAAGTTTGCATTCATATTCACCATAGGTGTTCGCCACAAAATGAGTGTATGGGAACATATAAATAACTGTCAATATACTTACGTTGGTGGCGAGGAAAAATAACGAATATATTCGTGGGGGAGATGCGCATTTTGCAGTGATAAAGAGACAAGTGTAAAGGATGACGAAAAAGGTCTCGATCAAACATTTTTCCAAAAATCTAACCAGATATGCTTGGGAAGTGACATTCGAGGAATTTCGTAGAAAATCTGCGTTCCCGACAGGAATTTAATCTGTATTCCTCTAACGAAACCGTTATTTGATCTAACGTGCTATACCATTTAGTTACAGAGAAGCGTCTAGTTAGTAAAGTTCAAATTATTGTTTATAAACACAATCTTCGACGATTTTTCTCCATCGAAACATATCTTAACGTAAACAATTAAACAATGACCAATTTCTCGAACATTCAGATCGGTAAAATGTAATTAATACTGTTTAATTAAAAACACACCATTTACTTAATTAAATAACTTGCATCTATGAAAATGACGTATAAACAGAAAATATATTAAATAATTGTCTGATTAAATCCATTTCATTATACGTTGTCATTGTTTATGTTAATCTATCTATATATCTATATATATATATATATATATATATATATATATATATATATATATATATATATATGAAAATGCTAAACCACTTTTAAGAAAAATACCAACCAACCTGGCCACCTGGGTTTCGACCATGAGGTGTCATCAGACAACTGGGAGATACTTGTCTGAGGAGAACTTACTGTCGAAACCCGGGTTGGTTGGCATTTTAGTCTATACGTTAATATATTTGCTCTATATATTCGATTTTGAAATTTGTATTGAGCACTTGTTGTTGTCTATATGTTTTAGGGGCGGCTGTTTTCAGTCTTTCTTTTACATTTCTATTCGTATATATATATATATATATATATATATATATATATATATATATATATATATCATTACATTCACTTACGTGCTATTAAGAAAGGTATGAATCCTCTTCCTCTCCCTCCAGCTATGGGTAAAATAGCAGGACAGACTGGGTTCTATAGCCTTGGATGGCAACTGGTCTAGGAGAAGGACAATTCTGAATTCAAAGCCTGCGGAGGGTCGTTTAGGAACCTTGTGGCATTCGGTGCACCAGGTCTCTGTATTCGTCCCTTCAAAAAGTGTGGATGGTCCTGCACAAGGCCTTCACCACTATAATCAAATCTCATGTGCCGGTGTTGGGCTGTCGGTTTCTTGGAAACTGATCTGCTTGACCCTCATACGTCGAATCTCGACGAGAGAGTCGATTATTATTATTATTCTATGTATCATAATTTTTGTCTTTATTTTCTTCTCAACTAAAGCCACTATGCGAAGCTTATAACTGCTGATTATCAAAAATAATAGATATTTGTACTCTGTTATATTTAATAAAATATGTTTTAAATAATGATCTACTGCCCCAATAAATATATAAATATATATATATATATATATATATATATATATATATATATATATAGAGAGAGAGAGAGAGAGAGAGGGATTGACTAAGAAAGATACATAAAAAGGTTTAGCCAGATTCATGACTTTGACAACTTTTCTCTTTTTTTTTAATAAGCATTTCACTTCTAGCAAGGCGGGAGTTCTACTAGCGCGCAAAGGATTACAGAGAGTGAAATGAAGGAAAAGTCTGCTATAGTGGGGGTGGTGAGGAAACGTTAAAAAAAAGGAACGCATGTGGATAAAAAGAAGAAAGGGGATCAAAACATCAGAAGATGTCGAGTGATATTACATTTAAATTTTGGGAGATTTTAGTTATCAGGGAAGCAAGTAAGAGTGTTCCACCGTCGGGAAGTATTCGAGAGAAGCTATTGGAGTAAAAGGGGTTACATTTAACTGTTTCGACAGTAAAAGGGTTGGACCGAGATGACAACTTTATAGAACGCTTAAATCCATGCAGCCAGGGTACCAGTGAAAATATCTCGTCAGAGAAGGTGCTATGAAAATATTTATAGAAAAGACAGAGAGAAGCAAGTCGGTGAGAAAGTGATTAAAGTCGAGACCCCATGTCAGGACCAATCATATTGCATATCCATCTTTGGACTGTAACCGTTTATTTCGAGTCCTTTTTTTTCTATAAAAGAATACGTGATGACAGCGTTTCTATAATATGCTACTACGCATGCGCTGCTGATATACTGGCTTGTAAATAAATGCGTTCTTCAGATTCACTTTCATTCACAGCTTTTGAATTGGATTTTTCTGAGAAGAAAAATATACATGTGAAGACGTTTATGACTTCGCTTATTACAGCTGCCTACGAAAGCAAATTTTTACCTGAGGTGTCATATTTATTCACCCCATTTGATCATCAGCAAAAGAATTTCAGTAACGAGATCTGAAGAGGACATAACCTTGCTTAGCTACAGAAAATTGATAGAAATTATAATGTTGCCAAATTCTTTTTGCGATTCGCTCACTACCAACTACATAACCTGTATTAATAAAAAAAAAAAAATCGACAAGGAAGACATTTTGTAATGTATGGTTTGTCCTGGATTCTTCCTCTAAAATTTAGTTTTGAGATGGGGGAAATGCCGGGAAGGAGAAGGAGTAGTTTGCTGAAAGAAAAAAGATGGCGGAAAATAAAGAAAATGAGAGAAATGATAAAGGCGAATGAAATGAAATACAATAACGTCGAGAACTCGAAAGAAAAATTAGATTTGGTAACTGGAGAAAAAGAAGATAGATACAAACAGGAATTATTAATTTTCAAAATAAAAATAACAAGAAAAAGTTACCGATGAGATATTTTTTTTAAAATGTCAGAATGTAAAATGTGAGGAAAAGATGAAGAAGAAAATGAAAATCTTTTAAGAAGACCAAAAGGAATAGAGAACAAAGAAAGTCAAATCTAAAAAAGAAAAACGATTCAACGAAAGCAAAATCGAAAGTCAAAAATTAACACAAAAAGAAAAAAAATCAACGAAAAAATTTGAAAAGTCAGAATTCTTAAAAGAAAGAAAGAAAGAAAGAAAGAAAGAAAGAAAGAAAGAAAAAAGAACACATAAACAAAGGCTGGAAAAAGAAAGTAAAAAAATGAATGGCTGAAAGATAGAAAGAAAGAAAAAAAGAAAGAAAGAAAGAAAGAAAGAAAGAAAGAAAGAAAGAAAGAACACATAAACGAAGGCTGGAAAAAGAAAGTAAAACACTGAATGGCTGAAAGAAAGAAAGAAAGAAAGAAAGAAAGAAAGAAAGAACACATAAACAAAGGCTGGAAAAAGAAAGTAAAACACTGAATGGCTGAAAGAAAGAAAGAAAGAAAGAAAGAAAGAAAGAAAGAAAGAAAGAAAGAAAGAAAAACGAACACATAAACAAAGGCTGGAAAAAGAAAGTAAAACACTGAATGGCTGAAAGAAAGAAAGAAAGAAAGAAAGAAAGAAAGAAAAAAAAAAGAAAGAAAGAAAGAAAAAACAACACATAAACGAAGGCTGGAAAAAAAGTAAAAACACTGAATGGCTGAAAGAAAGAAAGAAAGAAAGAAAGAAAGAAAGAAAGAAAAAAGAAAGAAAGAAAGAAACATAAAACAAAAAAATAAAGAAAACAAATGGCTGGAAAAAGAAAGAAAGAAAAAAAGAACACACTGAATGGCTGAAAGAAAGAAAGAAAAAAGAAAGAAAGAAAGAAAGAAAGAAAGAAAGAAAGAAAAAGAAAAACGAACACATAAAACAAAGGCTGGAAAAAGAAAGTAAAACACTGAATGGCTGAAAGAAAGAAAGAAAGAAAGAAAGAAAGAAAGAAAGAAAACGAACACATAAACAAAGGCTGGAAAAAGAAAGTAAAACACTGAATGGCTGAAAGAAAGAAAGAAAGAAAGAAAGAAAGAAAAGAAAGAAAGAAAAAAGAAAACGAACAAAAACAAAGGCTGGAAAAAGAAAGTAAAACACTGAATGGCTGAAAGAAAGAAAGAAAGAAAGAAAGAAAGAAAGAAAGAAAGAAAGAAAGAAAAAGAACACATAAACAAAGGCTGGAAAAAGAAAGTAAAACACTGAATGGCTGAAAGAAAGAAAGAAAGAAAGAAAGAAAGAAAGAAAGAAAGAAAAAGAAAAGAACACATAAACAAAGGCTGGAAAAAAGAAAGGCTGAATGGCTGAAAGAAAGAAAAAAGAAAGAAAGAAAAAAAGACTGAATGGCTGGAAAAAAAAGAAAGAAAGAAAGAAAGAAAGAAAGAAAGAAAGAAAGAAAGAAAGAAAGAAAGAAAAACGAACACATAAACAAAGGCTGGAAAAAGAAAGTAAAACACTGAATGGCTGAAAGAAAGAAAGAAAGAAAGAAAGAAAGAAAGAAAGAAAGAAAGAAAGAAAGAAAAACGAACACATAAACAAAGGCTGGAAAAAGAAAGTAAAAAAATGAATGGTTGAAACAAAGAAAGAAAGAAGCAAAAAAACAAACAAAAATAAACAAAGAACACATAAACAAAGGCTGGAAAGTAAAAGAATGAGTGGTTGAAAGAAAGAAACAAAGAAAGAAAGAAACAGTAAAATAAAGGAAGAAAAAATAAAAGATAACAAAAGAAAAATGAATGAATGAACGAATGAGAGAGAATACACAAAGAAAAACAAGAGAACTACAAAAGAAAGAATGAACGAATGAATGAATAAATGGGATATATGGAAAGAATGGAAGAAAAATGAAAGTGACAAAAAATAAAATAAAAGAACAAAAAAGAAAAACGAAAGAAAAGATAAATTATAAAACGACACTATCGTCAAAAGAAAGAAAAGAAAAAAAAGGAAAAAATATTAAATATTAGTTTTCCTTTCCATCCTGATTTCAGTTTAAACGATTGTCTTCTTTTTCCATATTTTGTGACTATTATATATAAAGTTCAATTTCCTTGATTTACTTGTAAAATATTTCAGTGAACCTTTCGTTTCATAAAATCATCATTTATAATTATAACATCGATAAATGGAAAAAGGTTATGAGTTTAAATTATATAATTCTTAGGAGGAACGTTGGAATAGCGGTTTGCAATTGGAAGAATTGTAAATCAGAGTTTGAATTCCATTTGAATCCATTACATTTATTTACGTGCTAAATCCCTTGGGAAACGTCTGAATCCTATTCTTCTTCACCCTTCCCCAATAAATAGTAGGACAGACTGGGTTCTATTGCCTAGTTAAGGAAAAAATAACTCCAAATTAAAAACTGTATGTCGTCCTGGTGTAAAGAATACAGTTAAAGAAACGATCGTTCTGATTGGCTCGATAATCCTGACAACGGTCGAACTGGATGAAACGATGGTGTTCTGGTGTCAGTTTAAACTGGCGCCATCTTGTTTTCTATGAGATGTTGATTAATCGTTCTATTTTCTTGATTCCAGCTTAAATATTTGCATATTTTCCAACTTATTTCAGAGAAATGTTAACTTTCCATATTTTTTAAAATTATAATTAAAATATATGCAAAAAAAATAAAATAAAGTGTCGATTAAAACGCACTAAAATTATTATATATGAACCGACGCATTTCATTTTTTTTTGCAAATTTTATCTTTTTCAATCAAGCAAGGCAATAACACCACTAAGACGCAAGGTGTTAGTGAATGCGAAAGAATAAAAAACCTAAAAAACGAAGTGGAAAGAAAGAAGAAAGAAAGAGAAAGTGAAAGAACAATAAAAGAACATGAATTTAGAAGACAAACGGTAACAATTGAAATTGTTGAAGATCAAACTTGATTGCAAAGAAACAAGCTCGAAAAAAGTTCCACAATGGCGTGAGAAAAAACTGTTAGCATATAACTAGTTCCAAAATAAAAGTAAAAACTTTGTTGGGGTGGAGGAGAAAACAAGAAAGAAAGAAGAAAGAAAGAAAATAAAGAAAGAAAAGGCAAAGGGAAGCTAAGAAAACGAAATACGTAGGAAAGTGAAGATGCCAGGTCAAGACCGATAACATTGCAGATTCTTCTTTGGCTATTATCAGGAATCACTATATAAATAGAATCACCAGATTGATGTGATAGTAATATTCAAAGCGTAGAAAAATGGTAGATATATATTGATATAAGAGAGATTCTTGTACGAAAGAGGTAACCAAAGAAAGAAAGAAGTTAAAAACAAATCATCAGAAAATATTCTTAAAATTTTGCTCAACGTTGAAAGAAAAAAGATTCCAAAGAAAGTCGTTGAAATCTTCCAAAGAAAGAAAGAACACATGAAAAAGGCTGGAAAATTTAAAATGAATGGTTTAAAGAAAGAAAGAAAAGAAAGAAAGAAAGAAAGAAAGAAAGACGCCAGATGGAAAGGTCAAAAAAGAAAGAAAAAAATGGTTGAAAGAAAGAAAGAAAGAAGCAGAAAAAGAAAAAAAAAAAAAAAAAACAAAGAAACAAATTATTGAAAGAAAAGAAAACTAGAAAAAGAAAGAAACAAAAAAAGAAACATTAAAGTAAAAAAAAAAAAAAAAATAACAAAAGAAAAAAAAAAGAAAGAAGAGAAAAGAGAAAGAAAGAGAAAAAGAAGAAATACAAAAAGAAAGAAAGAAAATGAATAGAAAAGAAAGAATGGAAAAAATTAAAGTAAAAAAATAAAAAAAAAGAACAAAAAAGAAAAAACGAAAGAAAAGAATGAAAGAAAGAACTATAGAGAAAAGGAAAGAAAAGAAAAAAAAGAAAAAAAGAAAGAAAGAAATCCTGATTTCAGAAAGAAGAAATTATTTCCATATTTTGTGACTATTAAAGAAAAGTTCAAAAAAGAAAAGTAAAAAAAGAACCTTAAAATAAAAAAATCATTAAAAATAGAGGAGAAAGGAAAAGGTTATGAAAGAAAGAAAGAAAGAAAGAAAAGAAAGAAAGAAAGAAAGAAAGAAATTTACGAATGAAAGAAAGAAAGAAAGAAAGATAGAGAAAAGGAAATTGAAAGAAAGAAAGAAAATTAAAAAAGAGAAAGTCGTCCTGGTGTAAAGAATAGAGAAAGAAAAAATTCTGATTGTAAGAAAGAAAAGAAATGATGAAAAGAAAGTACAAAAAAGATTAAAATAAAAAAAGAGATGTTGAAATAGATTTTCTTGGATTCCAGAAATAAAGAAATTTTCCAAGAATTTCAGAAAAAAGTTAAAAGAAAGAAATTTTTTAAAATTAAAAGAAAGAAATGAAAAAAAGAAAAAAAAAAGAAAGAAAAAAGAAAGAAAAAAATTATAAATGAAAGAAAGAGAGAAAGAAGAAATTTTATCTTTTTCAAGAAAGAAAACACCACTAAGAGAAAGTACAAAAAATGATTAAAAATAAAAAGAAACATTAAAAAGTAGAGAAAATGAAATCCTTAAAGAAAGAAAATAAAGAAATGAAAGAAAAAACGAAAGAAAGAAAGAAAGAAAGAATTGAAAGAAACAAGCTCGAAAGAAAGATAGAGAAAAACTGGAAATAAAGTTCCAGATAAAAATTTCTTTTGTTGGGGTGGAGAGAAAAAAACAAAAAAACAAAAGAGAAGAAGAAGAAAATATTTATAGAAAAGAAAAGGGAGAAAAAAAAAAGATGCCAGGTCAAAAAACATTAAAATTAAAAAAATCAGGAATCACTAAAAAGAATCACCAGATTGATGAAAGAAATTCAAAGAAAGAAAAATGGTAATAAATTGAAAAGAGAAGAAAGAAAGACTCAGGTAAAGAAAGAAAGAAAGAAAGAAAGAAAGAAATAAAGAAAGATTGCTCAAAAGGGAAATGAAGAAAGAAACGTCGTTGAAATCTTCCAAGATAGCTCAGAGAAAAAAAAGAAATTATTGTAAGAAAGAAATTAAACTAGAAAAGAAAGTACAAAAAAGAAAGAAAAAGAAAAAAAGAAAGAAAAAAGAGAAAGAAAGAAAGAAAGAAAGAAATTAAAGAAAGAAAGAAAAAACTAGAAAAAGAAAGAACAAAAAAGATTAAAGTAAAAAAAAACATTAAAAATAGAGAAGAGAAAGAAAGAAAGAAAGATAGAGAAAAAGAGAAAGAAAGAGAGAAAGAAGAAATTATTGAAAGAAAGAAAAGCTAGAAAAAGAAAGAACAAAAAAGATTAAAGTAAAAAAACATTAAAAGTAGAGGAGAAGAGAAAGAATGAAAGAATGAAAGAAAGAAAGATAGAGAAAAAGGGAAAGAAAGAAAGAAAGAAAGAAAGAAAGAAAGAAAGAAAGAGAGAAAGAAGAAATTATTGTAAGAAAGAAAAGCTAGAAAAAGAAAGTACAAAAAAGATTAAAATAAAAAAAGCATTAAAAATAGAGGAGAAAGAAAGAAAGAAAGAAAGAAAGAAAGAAAGAATGAAAGAAAGAAAGAAAGAAAGAAAGAATATAAGGAATGACAAAAGTAACTGGAAGAAAAAATAAAAAGTAAGAAACCTGAAACGTAAAACAATTGAAAACTAAAAAAAATCAAGGAATGAAATTTAAGCAAAAGAAAGATAAAGGAATAAAAAATAAAGAAGGTAAAACGAAGAACAAAAAAGGCAAGAATGAAAGATATTCAAAACGATGAGAAAAAGACGGAGAATAAAAAGAAAGAGAAGGCAAAAAAAAAAGATGGCTAAAGCCCAAAGAGAACGAAAAAGGGGATAAAAACAGGATAATGAAAGAGAAAAACGAATGAAAGAGAATGTCTGGTAGATAAATAAAACCTGTAATGAAGAAAAAGGAAAGAATTAAGAAATGAGAAAGAGAAAAAATGAGAAAATATAAAAGAAAAGAAGAAAGAGAGAAAGAAGAAATTACTGAAAGAAAGAGAAGCTAAAAAAAGAAAGAACAAAAAAGATTAAAGTAAAAAACATTAAAAATAAGAAAGAAAGAAAGAAAGAAAGAAAGAAAGAAAGAAGAATATCTAAATGGATATAAGGAACGACGAAAAAAGTTCATCAGAATATATTCTTATAATTTTGCTCAACGTTCTTGTGTAAATGATTTCAAATAACATCGGTTATCTAATATGGCAACTAGTTAGAAATTCATAGAGATTCTGAGGTATTATGGTGACTGTTATAAAAATGGAAAATAAGAATGTTTTATTTTGGTGTAAGGAATACTGTTGTATATCTGAGCCAGTAATCGTGGCTAGCGAAGTTTAAGATAAGACAGATTGAATACAAGGCTTCCTCGATCCCCACTATTGGGCTTGTGACATCTTTTTGTATTTTCAAAATAAAATGAAAATGAAATGACAAAAGTGAATAATAAAAGAACAATGAAAGAAAAGTGATACCTAAAGAAAAAAATTGAATGAAGAAAGGAAAGAATGAAGAATTTTAAAAAATTAAAATAAGAGAAGACAGAAGAACGTTCAGAAGAAAAAAAGAAAGTGAATAAGAAAGAAAAACAGGATAATGAAAGAGAAACACGAAGAAAAGAAAATGAAAACTAGGTAAAAAAAATATGGAAGGAAAAAAGGGAAAAATATGGAAGAAAAAATAAAATTGAAATAAAATGAGAAAATGCAAAGATAGCAAAAACCAGAAAGAGAAGGAAAAAAGAGAAGAACAATGTAAGAGAAGCGTGAATGAAATAAAATAACTGATATATTAAAAAAAAATTGAACGAAAAAAAGAAAGAATTAAAAAACGAAAAATAAAATGAAAAAATAAGTAAACGAAAAAAAGATAGCAAAAATCCAGAAGAGAGAGAAAAATTGAAAAAGAAAAGAAAACAAGATAATGAAAGAGAAAAACGAATAAAAGAAAGATAAATTACAGAATTATAAAGAAAAGGTACAGAATAAAATAAACTATTTTTTTAAGTCAATCATTTTCTTTTCTTCTTTAATCACGAGAAACGCCGGCTTAAGGAAAAAAATCTAATGTTTCTTATTTAAGCATGCGCACAAATAGTCATGCACACATTTCTTTCTTTCGTTTTTTGGACCTGATGAAGCCTAGAAAGGTGAAACACGTAATCAAATCTTGTTTTAATGAAACGTTTCCCATTTGTCAAATTTCTTTAAAAATGTCCGGTTTTATATCCTATTTTCAATATTTATACATATGTATAAAGAGAAAGCGAAATATATATATATATATATATATATATATATATATATATATATATATAGAGAGAGAGAGAGAGAGAGAGAGAGAGAGAGAGAGATTGACTAAGAAAGATATTTTTTAAAAATGTCCGGTTTTGGGGTCTGTCTATATTTCTGAGATGAGGTATTATGTACAGTATTTACATTAGTCGGACTATTGTCCTCATCTTTGTCGCCATATTTGTCACAACGTTTCGGCCGTTGTACGCTCCGGCCTTCTTCAGGTGGTTGGAATGTCGAACTGAACCCTTTATTTCGATCACTGGGGTAGACTGTTCTAATTCCACGTGCCATGTTTTATGGATGTCAGTTATCAGTTATCTCCTGCTAATTTTCCCTCTGAAAGTTCTCCACTGCCTTAACCAGGTATTGAACTCACCTTCCGGTTTTATATCCTATTTTCAACATTTATATGTAAGTATAAAGAGAAAGCGAAATAGAGAGAGAGAGAGAGAGGGAGGGGGAGAGAGTGATTGAGTAAGAAAGATACATAAAAAGGTTTAGCCAGATTCATGACTTCGTGTGTAGTGAGTTAAATAGATTTTGGCAACTTTTCTCTTCTTTTTTTTTAATAAGCATTTCACCTCTAACAAGGCGGGAGTTCTACTAGTACTCAAGGGGTTACAGAGAGTGAGATAAAGGAAAAGTCTGCTAAAGTGGGGGTGAGGAAACGTTAAAAAAAAAGGAACGCATGTGGATAAAAAGACGAAGGGTGATCAAGACATCAGAAGATGTCGAGTGACATTACATTTAAATTTTTGGAGATTTTAGTTATCAGGGAAGCAAGTAATAGAAATAGAGTTCCACTGTCGGGAAGTATTCGAGACAAGCTATTGGAGAAGAAGGGGTTACATTTAACTGTTTCGACAGTAAAAGTAAAAAAAAAACATTTTTTTTTCATTCCGTAATTCTTGCAAAAAGCCCAATGAGAAGGAAAAAAGAAAAACAAAAGAACAATGAAAGTGAAAATGAATGAAAGAAAAGAACTGATACCTAAAGAAAAAATTGAAAGAAAAAAAGAAAGAATTAAGAGACTAAAAATGAAATGGAAAAAAAAATAAGAAAAAAAAAAGATAGGAAAAACTTACAAGAAAAATAAAAAGTGAATAAGAAAAATATAGAAAAATGAAAGAGAAAAAAAACAATGAAATTAAATGACTGATAGATAAAGATAAATCTGAAATGAGAGACTGTAAATACAACAAAAAGCTAGATTTGAAAGAAAAGTCAATAAGAAGAAAAAAGTTAATGACTGGTAAAAAAAAAAAAAACGAATTAAATTTAATGAATAGAAAGAAAATACGAGAAGGAAAAACAAAATGGTAAAAGCGAAAATTTAAAACGTAAATAAACTGAAGCGACAACTGAATTAAAAATAGCGATAAAAGAATTGAAAAACGAAGAATGAAACGATAAGAAATAGGAAAAAAAAAAGAAAAGGAAAAAGGCATTACTCTCCTTTAAATAGAGTTGAAAATACCGGTAAATATTGCCAGTAGGAGTTCCACCGAAATAGATATAGCAGATTTAAATATGGCACAGCAGAAGTAAAGTCGTAGGCAAATGAGAATGAGTTGACGACGACATAACATCCAAAAAATAAAAACATTACAAATTAAATTCCATAAAAGACAAATAAATAAACATATTTTGCGAAGAGATATCATTGAGAAAAGGAAGCAAATATAACAGTTGCGTGTGCAGTTGGTTTGCTTATCATAGGATTGTGTTATATTTAATCAATGAATAAGTGAATACCAAATATTTGCTGGTGATAAATATTATTCGTGGCTGCACCATTTCGGTTCTGTTGGAATTGGTGGCATCTGCAAATGATTCTTTTCTATAATTACCACGTCATTCGAAGTTAGAAACTGGATTTTAAATGTCATTTGTTTAAAGGGAGGAACAATTCGTTCAAGAGTTTTGTGGAAGAAAATTTTCATCTCACTTTTCACAGAGACAAGTACAGGTTTAATCTATCTATCTATCTTTCTTTCTTTCTTTTGCTTTCTTTCTTTCTTTTTTCTTTCTTTCTTTCTTTCTTTCTATCTATCTCTGTCTGTTCCTATCTATCTATCTCAATGTTATACATCTATCTCAATCTGTTTATATTTATCTCAGTCTGCTCCTATCTATCTATCTATTTATCTATCTCAATATGTTATATATCCATCTCAATGTGTTTAGATCTATCTATCTATGTTCAGATATTAAAAAAAAAGTATGAACACAGCAAAATGAAAATGATAAACACTACACTATTTGTCTTGAAAAACCAACAACTTCCTGATGATGACATTGATCTAATATCGAAAGTACTCATAATATATATGTATCAACACGTTAATTTTCGCTTTTTTTTTCTCTGTTTGTTCATGTAAGCAACTGTCAGTCTGTTAAGTGTTATATGTGCTGTATCCTTAAAGAGGTTACAAACGGACAAAATTGGCAATCGGCTGAAGGAACAGCAACACGAACGTAGATGAAAGAAGAGAGGTTTACTGCAAAAGGGAATACACAACTGAAAGGCAGGGTATCGGGTGGCAGGCTAGTAATTCCCGAAGTAAGGATATTTAATTTACCGCCCCGCGAGGCGGTATATGACACAAGGCCGTTTTTAATGCAGGGTTAAAACAGAGCCCGAAGGCTCGGACAAAAATTCCTCGTAGACCCCGTATACGCTGCGTCGGGTAGCCGTCTACAACCACAGACAAGACACTGCTCTTAGGCATAGCCTCGTCTGTGTTCTTCTTTGCCCGAAGGCAGAGAGTTCGACCAGCTAGAGAGGAATATCCAACTAATTGTCGAAGCAAGTTTATTTACCTAACCTCCCCGCGTGGCAAGATTTGGCACAAGGTCGTTTTTGATTCGGGGGAAAAAACAGAGCCTGTAGGACCGTGCAAAAATTTCCCGTAGACACCGTAAAAGACAGGGTCGGCTAGCTGCCTATCACCCCATACGAAACCCTGACTTTCGCATAGCCTCGTCTGCGTTCCTCTCTGCCCAGAGGCAGAGAGTTCGACTAGCACAGCTGGAGACGAAGCTCAAACTAATTGCAGAAGCAAGGATATTTTCCTTACATTCCCGCATGGCAGGATGTAATACAAGAGCGTTTTTTAATGCATGACAAAACGAAGCACGTAGGCTCAGGAAAAAACAAGACACTGCGGCCCTTCAAGCATAGCCTCGTGTGGTTTCCTCTCTGCCCGCATGCATAGAGTTCGACCAGCACAGATGGAGACGTATCTCCAATTAATTGCTGAAGCAAAGATATTTACTTTAGCCTCCCGCATGGCAGGATATGGCACAAAGCCGTTTTTAATGCGGTGTGAAAACCGAGCCCATAGCCTCGAGAAAAATTCCCCGTAGACGCCATATACACAGTGTCATGTAGCTGTCTACCACCCCAGACGAGAATCTGCGGCCCTTCAACATAGCCTCGTTTGGGTTCCTCTCTGCTCGAAGGCAGAGTGTTCGACCAGCACACCTGGAGACGTATCTCTAACTAGTAGCAGAATCATGGTTATTTAGCTTAGCTCAACTGGAGGCAGGATGTGGCACGAGGGCTTTTTTTTAATGCATATTAAAACCGAGCCCATAGGCTTGGGCCAAAATTTTCCGTAGACCCCGTATACACGGGGTCGGGTAGCTGTCTACCATCCTATACAAGACTCTGCGGTCCTTCGGCATAGCCTCGTCTAGTTGCCTCTCTGCCTTCGAATCTCCCACTAATTGCCGAAGCAAGACCCCAGGTTTATTCTCTGCACTCAATATATATATCTACTGATATAGTCAGTCCACATAGGCGATTTGGATTGTGGGTCATTCCATTATAACAATATTTTATACACGCTTGCATGATCATGTCTCTTTCGATTCATGGTAGGTATCGTTTCTTTCTTAGATAGACTGGTTGCCAACCATGGCTAAAGAACTCAGTCTATTCTGCTATTCAACTGGTAGATGGGGGGGGGAAGAGATAGATACCTTCTTCAAGGACATTTTCGCGTAAGCAAATCTAACGAACCCCACTGGTTTTCAAACTCTGCTATCGTGCACCTGTTTTAATTTTGCGTCTCTATAACTATAGAAGTATATAGAATATAGAAGTCCTTTGTTTAATTTGTAGGTTTGCCTAATGTTTATGACCATCAAAAGACTATAAATCAAAACTAGTTCGATTAACACCTATACCTGTCTTCTTAAATGAACCCACATGTTTGGTCTCATAGACTTTTCCTGGCTAGCTATGATGTTTATGGCTGAAAAGTTTCAGTGCTTGACAACTTGCGTAATCTACTCAGAAGTTATATATTTTTTGTTCCACCATTAATGACAAAACACTGTTACACCGATTGTCACCCTTGATAAGGAACAGTTTATATTTCGTCAGAGTTTATGACCTTAACAGCAAATAACTATGCTTGTCAACCATGAAGAGGTGATAGTCTCACTTTTAATTAATAGCAAGTTTTATCTTTACGGGCAAATAACTAGATTCTGCTTGTAGGTAATGAGTGAGTGTGAGACAAATACCCGGCCATAGTGAATGAATGCGAGCAAGGGCAAAGCAAGTGTACTCACTCCTCGCTGTGAATCGTAAGAATTCGTCCCGTTGAAAATGGAAAGAAAGATACGTGAGTAAAGATAATAGGTAAAAACATGCATCTGGTCTTCCATTACTACCGGGGCTTGAGTTCAATCCTCACTGAGTACCCAATACGAAATACAAATAAATAATCCAGGTGTTGATATATTTTAAAATCACCCTACCCTAACATTATCTATCTATCTATCTATCTATCTATCTATCTATCTATCATTTCTGTCCCTTTTCTATTGCCCTCTGTTCATTATCTATTTTATATCTATCCTAGTGTATTCAGATCTCACTCTCTATATAGCTATATATGGAGAGAAATCTATATATGGATATATATATATATATATATATATATATATATATATATATATATATATATATATATGTTTGTGTCACCTTTTTTAAATATATATATATATATGTGTGTGTGTGTGTCACATTATATATATACTGCCCTTCAAAAGTGTAAATTTTAAATTAATTTTTTCACCTTTGAAAGTGAAGTCTGAAGATCCAGAGAAATATTAAATCTCTGATAAATAAATTATAACAACCTTAAAGTAGTCGTTTTTTCTTTAGATTATATATCGGTTAAAGCGCGTCAGGCTATATGAAGGTTCCGTATAGGATACAGGTTCGATTCCTGTCGGAGGATGCATTTTTTCTATGAAAATTTTTCGGGCATTCAGGCCGGTAAATGTTGTTAATTCTGTTTATTATAAACAGAGCATTTATGTAAATATTTGTATCTATAAAAAGAACGTATAAACATTAAAAAATGTCTTATATATATATATTGTGCACTCTTTTAATTTAAATGTTACCAACGTTGGAATTGTACTCTATTCTTTCTCATCTTACCTCTCTCTCTCTCTCTCTCTCTATCTATCTATATATATATATATATATATATATATATATATATATATTATGTTCTCATGTATCTCAGTCTGTTCATATTTATCTGTCCATCTCCCTGTCTATCTCAGTCTGTTCATATTTATCTATCCATCTCCCTGTCTATCTCAGTCTGTTCATATCTATCTATCTATCTCAGTCAGTTCGTATCTATGTGTCTCAATCTGTTTATATCTATCTATCTATTCATAACTATTTCATTTTTTTCTTATTCTTTCCTTATCCCCCAATCAAGCTTAATCCTTATGATTTTCTTTCTTTTATATATTTATATATATATATATGTGTGTGTGTGTGTGTGTGTGTGTGTGTGTTCGTGTGTATACAGCAGCTGTTCTTGACCTGATCACAAAGTATTTAGAACATCGAATACCATTCGTTATTCTCTGAAACGAAATTCTCCCACACTGAATTGATTCAATATTTAAAATCAAAATATTGTTGGCTAATGTTAGCCGTGCCAATCGAAGAACCGATAGGAGGAGGTGGGGGGCATATTCTATAATATCAGATATTAAATTTCCCGTTGCAAAAGCAGTAAATATGGCGGAGATGGGTGGCGTTCACTGATGTGTTAGCATAAGGACTTCTTCGCTTTGTATCAAGCCTACAATATCAAAACGCATCGTTGAATTGGTTCTCCAGAGCATTCGCCATAAAAGTGGGGATGAAAGTTGTTACAGTCGGCAGGAATGAAACGTTGAAGGTCGCGAAAGATGCGCGCAGATGCGAGGCAGAAGAGTCGACAGCGAAAAAATATGGCGGAAAGGCAGCGTGGAGAAATAGATAAAGCGGTTATGGCTAGGGGATAGGCAGAATTATGTAACCAAAGAATAAATATAAAAAACTCATTCATATAATAACACGAATGCAACTTGTAGCAGGGTGTATATTTCCTGGGATATTTTCTTTATCGGTTTTATTTGCAGAGATATGAACAGCAAACTCAGCGTCTTAAAATAATTTCTATATTTCTTTCCATTCAGTCTCTTATCCTTATCTTTGTTGTTAGTTTCGTTGCGTGTCGGACGTTGTGCTTTCTATCCTTCCTCAAGCGTCTGTAGAAGGCATGAACCATCATTTACAAGAAGTCGGCCGTTAGTCCTGAGCATGACGATAAACTATTCAGCAGTAGGGGCTCTAAATCGGGAAATTTTGATGAGCGTGGAACAACCTTTTAATTGTGGTTGTTCTCAGGTCCACCCTGATCGGGAGTGTTAACACATTTAGGGTCCTAGCATTGGGCAAGTAGTGAACCCCCGAACAAAAATCTATGAAAGCCCGAAAAATACATACTGAAATTAACAACAATACATTTTACCTGTAGTTGAAGGCATACAATTGCGTTCAAAATATTTATATTTTAGGTATTAAATAACCCATAGAGGTGTTGATATGCCTCTAAACAAAATCAACAATAGATATATTAATTACATTATTCGGACAATTATCCTCATCTTTGTCGTCATATTTATTACAACGTTTCGGCCGTTTTACTCCCCGGCCTTCTTCAGGTGTTTGGAATGTCGAACGAAACCCTTTCTTTCCTCACTGAGGTAGACTGTTCTAGTTCCACGTGCCATTTCTAATGGATGTCAGTTATCAGTTATCTGCCGTTAATTTCCCTCTGAACGTTCTCTATTGCCTTAACCGCGTATTGAACTCAGACACTTTGGGTTCTGTCAGTGGATCTAACTAACGCCTTTATCCATTGTGGCATGTGTGCTTGAGGATTAAGTTCGACGAAACGTTATAATAAATGTGGCGACAAAGATGAGGACAATAGTCCGAATAATGTAAATAGTGTACATAATACCTCATCTCAGAAATATAGACAGATAGCAATACATATTTAAAGCAAAATCACCATCAATGCATTTTATCTGTAGTTGAAGGCATACAATAGCGTTCAAAATATATTTACAGTATTTACATTATTGGGACTATTGTCCTCATCGTTGTCGCCATATTTATTACAACGTTTAATATGTGTATTATATATAATTTATATGTATATATATTTATATATATATATATATAAATATATATAAATATATATATATATATAATTTATATGTATATATATATATATAAATTTATATATCTATATATTTATATACATATATAAATATATATAAATATATATATATAATTTATATGTATATATATATATTTATATATATATATATATATAATTTATATGTATATATATTTATATATATATATATATAAGTATATATAAATATATATATACATAATTTATATTTATATATATATATATATATATATTATATGCGCGGTACTTATTCGAAAATGCTCCATCAGTGATAGAGGTAACATATTTAGTTGTATGGATATGAGTTTGTAACCCTGGGTTCTACGTTTTTGTGATCATCATCTGATGATCGCAAAAGGGGGAAACCCATTTTCAGTGTTTTTAGTTTAGAGGGGAAAGGTTTCGGAAAGGATTGGATGAGTGTAATGGTGATTAGAGTGTTTTATGATGGGGACGTTATGCCTTTCATTCATCTTCCCACAGTGTCACAGACTCAACACGGAGGTATAAATAAAGTCCCTCGAGGAGTTCGTGCTGCCCTGGATCAAGAGGATGACTGATGGAAGACTATGAGAAGCAGGATAATAGAGTCATGGCTGTCAGACAATTTCGGTGAACATCTGACCGCCTACACCTCCCCTATCGTCAAGCACAATCGCAGTTGATCGAGAGATTAACAAATCTCCTCGTAACATCAAAGATGAACTGAAGGCAAGTATTATGGCAGCATTCACCAACTTAAACAAGGAGCACCCCCAGAAGATTCCGAAGTCTTTGGATGCCCTGGTTGAAGCCATTCACTCTTTAGTGTTTCAAGATATATATTTGTGACGTCAGTGTTATTTTCATTTTTTTTTTTTTGCGTAATTTAGACGACAATTTTTCTATGGCACCATGTATCTCTCTCACTCTTTTCACATCTATCTATCTAGCTAGCTATCTGTATGTCTGTCTGTCTATCTATTTATCTCTATTCATATTTATCTATTTATCTATCTCTATTCCTACCTATTATCTCTGTATATATCTCTAGTCCCACCTATGTATGTATGTATGTATGTATCTATCTATCTATCTATCTTTATTCAAATCTATCGATCTATCTATATATATATCTATCTATCTCTAGTCAAATCTATCTATCTATCTTTATTCAAATCTATCTATCTATCTATCTATCTACCTATCAATCTATCTCTAGTCAAATCTATCTTTATTCAAATCTATCTATCTATTTCTAGTCAAATCTATCTATCTATCTATCTATCTATCTATCTATCTATCTATCTATCTTTATTCAAATCTATCTATCTATCTCTAGTCTAATCTATTTATCTATCTATCTATCTTTATTCAAATCTATCTATCTATCACTAGTCAAATCTATTTATCTATGTATCTTTATTCAAATCTATCTATCTTTATTCAAATCTATCTATCTATCTATCTATAGTCAAATCTATCTATCTTTATTTAAATCTATCTCTAGTCAAATCTATCTATCTATCTTTATTCAAATCTATCTATCTCTAGTCAAATCTATTTATCTATCTATCTTTATTCAAATCTATCTATCTTTATTCAGATCTATCTATCTTTATTCAAATCTATCTATCTATCTATCTATCTATCTATCTATCTATCTATCTATCTATCTATCTCTAGTCAAATCTATCTATCTTTATTCAAATCTATCTATCTCTAGTCAAATCCATCTATCTATCTATCTATCTATCTATCTATCTATCTCTAGTCAAATCTATCTATCTTTATTCAGATCTATCTATCTATCTATTTATCTATCTATCTCTAGTCAAATCTATCTTTATTCAAATCTATCTATGTCTAGTCAAATCTATTTATCTATCTATCTTTATTCAGATCTATCTATCTATCTATCTATCTATCTATCTATCTATCTCTAGTCAAATCTATCTATCTTTATTCAAATCTATCTATCTCTAGTCAAATCCATCTATCTATCTATCTATCTATCTATCTATCTCTTTAAATCTATCTATCTTTATTCAGATCTTTCTATCTATTTATCTATCTATCTCTAGTCAAATCTATCTTTATTCAAATCTATCTATGTCTAGTCAAATCTATTTATCTATCTTTATTCAAATCTATCTATCTTTATTCAAATCTATCTTTCTATCTATCTTTATGCAAATCTATCTATCGATCTATCTATCTATCTATCATTATTCAAATCTAACTCTAGTCAAATCTATTTATCTATCTCTCTATCTTTATTCAAATCTATCTATCTATCACTAGTCAAATCTATTTATCTATCTTTATTCAAATCTATCTATCTTTATTCAAATCTATCTATCTATCTATCTATCTATCTATCTATCTATCTATCTGTCTATCTATCTCTAGTCAAATCTATCTATCTTTATTCAAATCTATCTATATTTTAATCTATCTATCTATCTATCTCAGCCTGTTCATATTTTTCTATCTATCTATCTATCTATCTATCTATCTATCTATCTATCTATCTATCTATCTTTTCAGCTTTTCAATCTTTCCCTCTCGCTATATTTTTTTTCATTCAGATTTCAACATCTCTGTAAAGTCATTTCTGTGCCCCTGGCATTCCATTTTTTCTCTCCATTCCATTTTTTTCTCTCTCACTCTGTCGCTGTTTTCTCACTCACTCTCTCCTGCTTACTCAATTGCCCCCCTTCCCTATTCACCATGTCTTTCTCATTTTCCCACCATTAGAATAATTACCCGTACGAGTTATTGTCAACAAAGTCCAGAATGTTACCATGACAACCGTCAGAAATAATTTAAGTCATGGTGGCCACTTACTTGGTCGGGATGGGAAACAGTTTTATCGGTAAATGAATGAAAGTCGAAAAGCAAATGAAATAAAAAAAAATGAATGAATGAAAAAGAAAAACTCCATTGAGAGCTAAAAAAATGAATAAGTTTAGGGAGATTAAGTATAAAACGTGAAAGGGAAGATGGAATTAAAAGTGGATGCAAGAAGGAAGGAATGTAGAAAAATAATAAAAGATTAAAGAAAGAAAATAAGAACGTATAGTGAGACATGGATAAAAGGACACAAAAATAATTCAGAATAAAACAGAAGAATAGAATGAAGAAAATAATGAACGAAAATCGTAAAAGAAAGAAAAAGAAATGAAAGCTTTAGAAGCAAAGACGAAAAATATAGGGAAAAGTAGAAGAGGAAAAAGTCTTCATAAAAATAAATGAAGAATATCTGATATAAAAAAATGTAAATATTCAAGAAAACACTTAAAAAAGGCAAGATGGTAGTTAAAAAGACGAAAAGGACACCACGATAAAAATAAGCAATGTAACTTCTTTCTCTTTTATTACCAATATTCTCCGACAGCCATTTTGACCATGACTGTCGACAACTTCCCAATTCTCGTCAAGTAGGTTATTCATTATTGGTGGTCACAATAATGTTGTAACCTAGAAAAGGTTACTGAATGAGGAATAACCAAAAACTGATGTTGGAAATGAAATGGTAATCTTTAACAAAATACAATACTCGCCAGCGGCGTGACGTAGGTAAACCACTGCTAGTGATGGACTACTTAGACAGCATATTACCCCAACTTCCAATAGTGTCCAAGGTATTTATGAAGATTCGGACATACACAATAGTGTTCATAAGTACAGTATATGACAATACACACATACAAACACACATACACACACATATATATATGTGTGAAGAAAAATATACTGAAAAAAAAAAACAAACAAAAATCCTAATATGCGATTATGCTGTTTTAATGTTTAATGTCAACGTCGGACGTTGTCATCTGCATATCATATGTTGTGTTATATACCAGGACAGACTGGGTTCTGTAGACTTGGATGGCAACTGGTCTGGAAGAAGGACAATGAATTCAAAACCTGTGGAGGGTCGTTTGGGAACCTTGTGGCATTCGGTGCACCAGGTCTCTGTATTCGTCCCTTCAAAAACTGTGGATGGTCCTGCACGAGGCCTTCACCACTATAATCAAATCTCATGTGCCGGTGTCGGGCTGTCGGTTTCCTGGAAACTGATCTGCTTGACCCTCATACGTCGAATCTCGACGGGAGAG